CTTGAGCCACAGGTGCCGAGCCAAAATTCATCTCTTTTTTAAGAGTCTGAAGGTATGTTATACTACAGTTTTGTATATTCAAAAAGATCACAATATATTAAAGCCGTGATGATGGGCAATTTAGAATTTACTTCCCCCAAATTTTTGTTTCATGCTTTCAGATGTTTATGGGTGAATAAGAGCAAACAGAAATGATTCCAATTTTACTCAGGCAAGTACTAGCTCCTTTTAGAAAAAGAGCAGAACTCTTACACTCTATGTAAGAATATAAGCTTGATAAGGACACAGATTTTTGCCCTTTTGTCCACTGTTAGATCCCTAGCATGTAGGAGAGTTCCCGGCTCATTGTAGATGTTCAATAGACATTTGCTGAGTAAAAGAATTTATACCAAAAGGACAAGAAGTCACTGTATCAAAATGACTAGAAAACATGAGACCTCCACTTGTTCCCCTACCTGACTCTCTCACTATTTTAGGTTTGTTATTTGGGTTAATTAAAAAATAAGTGTGCAGGCTCAGATCTGGTCACCTCCTAGCAATTTTTTAGCATAGTATGTTCTGTAGATATGTGATTGTAAGATAATATGTCTAAACTGCATAAAACCATGTATGCCCATGTCAAAACTTACCTATGAACTCCAGTGACACTCTCCTCTACTATGCCCTTGATTTTCTTAAACATGTTGGGATACTTTTTATAAATCCAGTGAGTGAGATCCCCTCCATCATCCAAGATCTGCAATAGTAAGCATCAATAATGTCATTTACTTTGCTGAAGGCTGAAGCTTCAATGCTTCTCTAGGTTTTGTATCCCAATTTCTTTCTCTCTTTCTCTTTTTTTTTTTGTAGAGACAGAGTCTTACTTTATTGCCTTTGGTAGAGTACCATGGTGTCACACAACTCAGAGCAACCTCCAACTCCTGGGCTTAGGCAATTCTCTTGCCTCAGCCTCCCAAGTAACTGGGAACTATAGGCGCCTGCCATAATGCCCAGCTATTTTTTTGTTGCGGTTTGGCCAGGGCCAGGTTTGAACCCGCCACTCTCGGTATATGGGGCCAGAGCCAGGTTTGAACCTGCCACCCTTGGTATATGGGGCCAGAGTCCTACCCACTGAGCCACAGGCACCATCCTTGTATCCCAATTTGTAATTACCAATTTATAGATATTCCAAATTTCCATATGTTTTATAAAGTAACTTCAAGCAGGGTTAATGGAATAATTAACTAAATAGTCATGATACTAAAAGGAAAGACAGTGAAAGGTGAAAGGCCGACTGTAATTCTCACAGCCCAATGACCCTCCCACATGACACACCTACTTTATGAAAATACACAGCAACATAATGTGGATTTTCTTATGGACTGACAGCTTAAGTGGTTATCTAGACTACTAGTCCTCGAATGTACTGTAGATATTCAAAAACCCCAAACTTATACAGGTATTTATATAGCAGATTTCTACTGGTTAAATTCAGGACTTTAAATAAATTCAGTCAAGGCTTAGCCTAAAATAAAAGGCCAGATAATTAGCCTCCCTCTCAGAACAATGGTTATGAGACTTAATTCGTTAATCCTTTACTTCTCCCAAAGTACAGGCACTCTCCCACCCAAAATATCAGGCAGCACTGTGGGGTTTTGCCTAGCACAACCTCACACTCTGTATAAACCAAATTAAAAATAACCAGGCAACCGTGCAGCAAGTAGGTGTGCAAGCATGCCTCTGAACAGCTCATCACTATTTCAGGTTGGGATTAAAGATAAACACAATGCTGTGCCCACTAGAGCTTTCATCAGCAGAGGAAAGTTTTTGAATTATAAATAAGCTAAAGAAGGACCAGCTTAGAATGCTATCAGGCTCTAGGCTGTGGCATTTCAGCCCTTCACTGGGCTGTCAAAAATGCTTAGCAAGACTTTGCAAATTGTTACACCTGTCGTCCTGGAAAGTCCCTACAGAAATCTGTTGCCCTTTGCTGGCATGTGCCCATTTTACAGTCCCCATCAGTCATCAACTCTCCTATAAGAGCCAAAAATGCCAAGGTGGACCCCAGGGCACACAAAATCCCCAACCTCATGTCTATCACTTGATCTCTCTTCTGCTTCTGCTCCAGTTGTCGATGTATTTTCTCTGACTCAATCAAGCCTTGCTTGAGAGCAGAGATCCAAGGAAGAACTCATTAAAGCTCTTACACTTGCTCCAAACACAAATAGAAGCTCTTAGAACAGATGCCCTAAGAAACCAAAGGGCTCTTCTGAGTCTCTCTCCCTTTCTGCATGCCTGGAATCCCTTGTGGGGGTTTTCCCTGGCCACAGAAAAGGTCAGAAACAAAAAAGATTAGACAACTTGGAACTCTGTATTCTAAGTTCTACTATTCTCGTCTACTTTTCCCTTTTAACAAAGATAACCTGATACACACAGGTAGCTGCTATCCCTAATATTTATTTAATGAATGTAGCTCATAATTCTCACCATGTAAATCTACTGTAGAAAATTCCTGTCATCAGGAAATCTTTTTGGGGTTAGAAAGCAAGCAAAAGTACTACATCTTCATAGGATCCAAAGAGGTTTTGGTCCAGTTTTCTGGGGTGACAACTGTTTTTGTCTCTGTCTTACTTTCTTCATTAACCTTCTCATAGTTTCTGCTGGTTCCACAGTTTATAAAATCTCTCAAATCAGTGTTTTATTCCCAGAAGAAACCTGGCATATCTTCTTAGTGTCTGTCAGTCATACTCTGTCCTGTTTCTGTTAAAACTGTTGGAATGAGCTGACTCCTCTTACAGTCATTGTCAACTACCTCCCCCCAGCCCTTTGGAATGAAGGCTTTAACCCAGCTTCCTCAAACGAGTAGAGGGAGCACTGGGTGCAATGTGACCTGGATCACAGAATGCAGAAAGAAGCTGCTTCTCTGCGTGAGTCAGCCAAGGCCTGCTCTGCAGTCTGCAGCAGCAAGCAATGGTTGGAAGATTCACGGATTCTTTTTTCAGTTGATTCTCTAGCTTCTCCTCTAATATGCAGAATTTTTACAAAATAGGAGTGCCATATTTTGTGTAGATTTTTGCCTCTGCAAATCTAATGTGCTATCAGGCTTTGAGACTTGATCTTTTTTTAAAAAAAAAGAAACAAAAATAAAAATAAAAAACTCAAAACTCATCTTTTTTAAGGTGGTCAACAAATAAAGACAAGAAATTTGAACTTGGAGGTTCTGCAAGTTTATTAAATATTCTGTGTATAGATTCTAGAAAGAAAGCTAAGTATCTCAGAGCTGTTGTGTTTTTTTGTTTCTTTGGGTTTCTTGGTTGTTATGTTGGGTTGGGGGGACTGGTGGGCAGTGATAGGGGATGGAAATTCATTACCCTTGCTTTTTAATCAGCCATGTGTAAATCCTGAGCATCACTTTAGTGTTGCTAATGAATATAGATGCTTCCAAAAATTAAGGTATAAGGCACTCTGAGGTGCCTTGGGGTACCCTAAGCATGAGCATCTAGGTCTACTGGAAACCCTGGCACAAAAGGGAGAAATGGAGTCATTTTCCCCTTTATTGTTGAGAAACTTCTCCCAGACCATAGCCTTATCCCACCTCCACCTTGTCCCTACAGAATTGTATTAGCAGAAATCTGACATACCATGTTTGGCTGCCAGCCCTCAACATTTACACATCTATCAATGCACCACCAAAAGTCATCTTCCGACTCTCCCTTCCAGGCAAAGACAGGAAATCCTGAGGAAAAAAAGAAAAAAGAAAAGAAACCATTAAAAACTGAAAAAAAAGGAATGACCCCCCAAATATTTGAAAGATGATATTGGTTTTCCCCAATTCCAGACCCTCTCATTCTACTATGTTCCTTGGGCTAACTTCCTTCATGATTAGCATTGCCTTTAGCACTTTTATCCATTCCTTTATCTTTGGAGGTCATTCTGCTCTTATTAGCTGAAAAAGGACAGGCTAAATGGACAAAAGTATCACAGTTGTTAAAAATAGGACTAAAATGGAAAAAAAGAGACAGAAATAAGTACTTCTTGATCCACTTAAACTGCCATTCTCACCATTTCCCAACTACTCTTTTTTTTTTTTTGGAGACAGAGTCTTACTCTGTCCCCCTGGGTAAAGTGCCATGGCGTCAAAACTCATGTTACCTCAAACTCCTGGGCTCAAGAGCTTCTCTTGCCTCAGCCTCTGGTCCGCCACAACACCCGACTAATTTTTCTATTCTTTTTAGTAGAGATGGGGTCTTGCTCTTGCTTAGGCCAGTCTCAAACTCCAGAGTGCTAGGATTACAGGCGTGAGCCACCACGCTGGCCTCTAACTACTCTTTGATCTTTCTTGCTTTTATACCTTAGTCGTGCCACCTTCTTTGTCAGAAAAACCCTTCTTATACCTTTTCCATCTACTAAAATGTTGCTATACTTCATAGCCCAGTTAAGTGTCATGTTCCTAATGAAACCTTATTAACCCAGCTGGAAGTAACTCTCAAAGAATCTGAACTTTTCTAAGCCCCTTGTTTATGCACTGAACATGGATATAAATCTGCTGTGGCATTTATCATAAATGTCCTTGTATTTTCATAAAATTCTGAGGGTAAAGACATTGTCCCATTTGTCCTTCTCTTAGAGTAGGTCAATAAGCATTTGTTAAAAAAAAATTAATGAATGCATATCTGTAATTAATTGGGCTATATATTATAATATTTATATCAATAAAGCATTAATATTAAATACTGTTCTATCATACATACATTAATAAAATTTTACAAATGAATGAGTATAAATGAAAGAACCAATGCAACAACACTGAGAGTGCCAGCCAAAGGATAGTCATGCATATTCTACAGGCCTTTCCCAGTATCTCCCAGGGGCTCTGAAGCAAGTGTTTAGTACTCTGATAAGTGCTGTGCTATGTTGCCAGAGAGTAAAGGCAAGAGGCTAGCAAAATCCAAATTTCTCTATTTCTTTTGTCCTTCAAGTATCAGTGGATGTTCATATCAAATATTAATCTGCCAGGTCAAGTCAGATTTCTGCTAAAGCGAAACACAAAACATTAAGTCAGGGACAGAAAACCTACAGGGGTGAAGCATTTTCTTCCTCCTCTTCTTCTTTTTTTTTGAAACACAGTCTCACTCTGTCACCCTGGGCAGAGTGCTGTTGAGTCTCAGCTCACAGCAATCTCAAACTCTTGGGCTCAAAGCATTCCTCTTGCCTCACCCTCCTGAGTAGCTGGGACTACCAGTGCCTACCACCACCATGCCTGTCTAGTTTTTCTACTTTTATTAGAGACGAGGTCTTATTCTTGCTCAGGCAGGTCTCGAACTCCTGAGCTCAAATGATCTACCCACTGCGGCTTTCCAGAGTGCCAAAATTATAGCCGTGAGCCACCGCACTCAGCCCTTCTTCTTTAATCTATATTTCCTCAGACAGTGAGTCAAAGCAAAGTATTAACCAATAATGGAATAATAGACATAGGTAAACATTTTCCAACTGTAAACTATAGCAAAGTTAACCAGATCATATTTAAAAGAAGACACCCAGAAAAAAGAACAAACTCATCAAGATTAGGGATCCACTTCTTCCAAGACAGCTCCTTTATTGTTAACCTTCCTTAAAGATTTATATTGAAACAATGGGAGTTTTCGGAGACTTCTTTTAGCCAAACACACGGAGAGCAAATAAGAGAGCTTACCACTTTCCGCTAGAGCAGCAGCTACCTCATTGAGAGTGGAATAAATGTTGCAGGCAGCCCATCGGCACTGTGCTCCCAGAGCACCTAGGGTTTCCATGAGCACCTGTATTAAAGAGAAAGCAAGAAATGAGCAAGCCTGGGCCAAACAAAGGGTCAAGGACATTAAGTTTATAGTTTTGACAATGAGAACGTATATCAGCAGTAACTTAGGCCAATTCTTTTCAAATTGTGCTATACAGAACCTCTGCAGTATTCTGAAAAGAGGGAGAGGGTTGTAGGGGAGCCTTGAGAAGAGGCTCTATCTGAGCTCTATACTTTTTCCTGTTCAGCAAGAAAGTATCTTCTGCCTAAGACCCTCCACAGATGCAAGGCAAAATTTGGCTGCTACAAACAGGCAAGGCAAGAACTCTGAGAAAGCCTTGCTCTCACAGAGGCCTACTTAAGACAGAGGCTGTATTAGGAGATCCAAGAATCCCACTTGCCCTCCCCACCACTCTAGCCCCCGGAAACAGGGAGCAGCAGTATAGCGTGGCAGGAACTGGAAGAGAGATCCTCCCTCCCCTCAAGGCATGCCTGTGCATAAACAGCCTCTAATCCAATTACAAGGCACTGTGTTTCCCTGAAAATATGACCTACCCCCAAAATAAGCCCTAGCAGGATTTCTATGCATTTGTTAAATATAAGCCCTACCCTAATAATAAGACCTAGTGATGGGCGTGCAGCATATCTGCCAAATGCATTTCCATGTGGAGCAGTAGGGAAGACTAGAATACCTTTTATCTGCCACAGCTCCTTTCTCCAAGCCGTTCATACTCACACAGGTGTAAGTGGTAACTGAGGTCACAGGCATCCTATTGCCCACATGCGAATGGCTAGGGGAAAGGACTTTGTGCATCACTAGTGCCAGCCCCACCAACAAGGTTGGCTCCCCCCGTCAGGTTCCAGAAGAAGATGACTTAATTGTATTTGAATAAATGTAGATTGTTGTATTATACTTAATAAAAATAAGACATCCCCTGAAAATAAGCCCTTGTGTGTCTTCTTGAGAAAAAATAAATATAAGACAGTGTCTTATTTTGGGGGAAAAACAGTAACAGCAACCCACTGCTGGAGGAATTTGAAGCCTTTGCTGGTATATTCCAAATCAGGACTATAATGGTAAATAATATACTACCATTCAATAAAAAAATCTGAAGACCGGTGGCGTCTGTAGCTCAGTGGGTAGGGCACTGGCCACATACACCCAGGCTGGTGGGCTCAAACCCAGCCTGGGCCAGCTAAAAAACAACTATGACAACTGCAACAACAACAACAAAATAGCCAGGCATTGTGGCAGGCGCCTATAGTCCCAGCTACTTGGGAGACTGAAGCAAGAGAATCACTTAAGCCCAAGAGTTTGAGGTTGCGGTCAGCTATGACATTATGGCACTCTATCCAGGGTGACACCTTGAGATTCTGTCTCAAAAAAGAAAAATATCTTGAGACACACAAAAAGTGGGGGAGGGGATTTGAACCCACTGTTAAGAAATAAAGTTATCAAGCTAGACACAGTGGCTTACCCCAGTATTCCTAGTACTCTGGGAGGTCGAGACTGGCCTGAGTAAGAGTGAGACCCCCTCAATCTCTACAGTCGCTACAAAAAAATACAAAAAATAGCCTGTGTGGTGGAACATGCCTTTGTTCCAGCTACTCAAGAAGCTGAGGCAGGAAGATCACTTGAACCCAGGAGTTGGAGGTTGTAGTAAGCTATGATAATGCCATTGTACTCTAGCCAGGACAACAGAGTAAGACTGTCTCAAAAACAAACAAATAACCACTCCCAAACCCAACGAATCAGTAGAGCCAGACTCTCTGATGAGCCAAATGTTTGATCAGAAACTTCAAAATAACTATAATTAATATGTTTATGTTAAAGGATCTAGAGAAAAAGATGGATTATATCTCTGAACAGACATAAAGTTCAGCAGTGAGATGGAAACTATAAAGCAATTCAAATAAAAATAACAAGAAATTTTAAAAAATTAGAGGGCTGGGCACCTGTGGCTCAAATGGCTAAGGCGCCAGCCACATACACCTAAGGTGGCAGGTTCAAATCCAGCCCGGGCCTGCCAAATAACGATGACGGCTGCAACCAAAAAATAGCCGGGCGGGCGTTGTAGTGGGCGCCTGTGGTCCCAGCTACTTGGGAGGTTGAGGCAGGAGACTTGCTTGAGCCCAGGAGTTGGAGGTTGCTGTAAGCTGTGATGCCACAGCACTCTAACCAGGGGGACAGCTTGAGGCTCTGTCTCCAAAAAAAAAAAAAAAAAGGAATGATACTGAGGCTTACCTACAGAGCCATATAAATTAGGAAAGAAAAGTGACTGCAATAAAGAACATAAGACTGTGAGTCTGTTAGCTGTTAGGGCTCAAAGAGGAGGCAGAAGGCAGGCAGGAGTGGGAAGAAGACAGCACTTAGATGCTGGTTTAACCTCACTTCTAATCATTATCACCTAGAAGGAGTAGCAATGGAATTAGGTAAGAACTATGAAAACACTTAAAATACACAAATAAATCCATGTCTGTTAGAAATATGGCAGGAAACCATTAACTATGATAGTTATTTCTGGAGCATGAGATTATAAGAGACTTTGTCTTTTTATATTATATACTGAGTAACATCTGACTATTATAAAATGAACATAAACTAGTTTTAGACTCAGAAAAATAACTTGGAAAACAAAGCCAAATGCCTTTGTAACTTTTTTTTTAGAGACAGTCTCACTTTTTTGCCCTAGGTAGAATGCCATGGCGTCACAGCTCACAGTAACCTCCAGTTCTTGGACTTAGGCAATTCTCTTGCCTCAGCCTCCCAAGTAGCTGGGACTACAGGCACCAGCCACAACACCCGGCTATTTTTTGTTGCAGTTTGGCCAGGGCCAGGTTTGAACCTACCATCCTCCCTATATGGGGCCAGCGCCCTACTCACTGAGCCACAGGCACAGCCCTCCTTTGTAATGTTTTTAAAGGTAAAACTATGGGGTAGAAACATCAAAATAATGTTAAATTGGTAAACTAATTGTGATTAATCCATTAAGAACAGAAAAGAAACCCTGAAGGTGATAAATGCCAGTCAGCCTAAAAACAAACTAGATACAATTTAGCAACATGAGACAGTAGCTAAGTACTTACTATTTTAAGCTACCACACTGAAGTCTCATGTCACTGACTGACTAAGCCCAAAAAACCATTTCAAGAATGTTTTTGCCTTGATTCATCGGTAACTCCAAAAAGAGACAGCTTTTCAAATTTTTGTATTAATTTTGGGCAGTTAAGTGCTCTTTTCCTCAGAGAACATATAACCCAGAAAAGTCTCCTAATAAAGATGCTAACAGTAGCTGTCTACATCTTGAGGAATCACTAGTGTTCAGAATATTCTTAATCAGGAATGTGAACATTTATGTGTTATACTTCAGGGGAGATAAAGATAATCTTTTGGGGTGGTGCCTGTGGCTCAGTGGGTAGGGCGCCAGCCCCATATACTGAGGGTGGCGGGTTTGAACATGGCCCCAGCCAAGCTGCAACAACAACAATAAAAAAATAGCTAGGGCTCAGCGCCTGTGGCTTAAGTGGCTAAGGCGCCTGCCACATACACCTGAGCTGGTGGGTTTGAATTCAGCCCGGGCCTGCCAAATAACAATGATGGCTACAACCAAAAACTAGCCAGGTGTTGTGGCGAGAGCCTGTAGTCCCAGCTACTTGGGAGGCAGAGGCAGGAGAATCACTTGAGCCCAGGAGTTGGAGGTTGCCGTGACCTGTGATGTCATAGTACTTTACCCAGGGTGACAGCTTAAGGCTCTGTCTCAAAGTCTTAGAAAAAAAAAAAAGCAAGGCACTGTGGTGGGCACCTGTAGTCCCAGCTACTCTGGAGGCTAAGGCAAGAAAATCACCTAAGCCCAGAAGTTGAAAGTTGTTGTGAGCTATGACTCCACAGCACTCTACCTAGGGTGGCAAAGTGAGACTCTTGTCTCTAAAAAAAAAAGATGATCTTTTGAAAGTAGATTCCCCCCATATAAATGACTCAGATTTTTTTTTTTTTTTTTTTGAGACAGAGCCTCAAGCTATCCCCCTGGATAGAGTGCTGTGGCATCACAGCTCACAGAAAGAAATACAACAATAATAAAATACATATTTAAACTCAATTATTTTCTTCCCTTTTTTAAATTTCAAATTGATATGAGGGTACAAATGTTTAGGGTCTTGATTATTTTCAATCTGTAGTTGGTTGAATCCTCAAATGCAGAACCTACAGATATGGAATGCCAACTATATAAATCAAACTGTATCACAAGTATGAACATATAGGAAAAAACACAGTAGGCATAGAGTTTGATATTACCCAAGGTTTCACACATCCACAGGGGGTATTGAAACTTATCCCTCATGGATAAGGGGGGAAATACCATATATTGAAGATCAAATCTTGATTCTATAATTTACTAACTATATAACCTTAAATCAATTTCTCAAACCCTTTGAGCCTTAGCTTCCTCATTTATAAAATAGAAACAGGACTACCTGCTTTATACAGCTATGATGAGGATTAGTGAACTAATATTTGCTAAGCTCTTAACTTGGTGCTTGGCATGTTGTAAGTATTCAGTAGCTGGTGGCTATTATTAACCATTGTTATTAAGAAGAGAAAGGAAAAGGACTCACAGCAGTCTGAGCAGTGATATGTGTGCAACCCACAATTTTGGCTCCAGCCAAAGGCTTTTCTCCTTGAGCTCTCTTCCTCAAAGCCATCAGTGCAGGCATTTCTGAAAAAGATGCAATACATATACAGCAATATTAAAGAGGAGAGAATAAAAGATAAAAGAATAACCAGGAAACTTACTTTTCAAGTTAAGATCTTCTCCCCATTAAGTTACGTGAGGTTCCTCAAGGGATCAAGCCATTAAACTTTGACATAAAGTCTATGCTAACCAGTTTGATGAAAATATTTCAAATTGTATATGAAAACACTACACTGTACCCCATGTTTGCATTAATGTACACAGCTATCATTTAATAAAAAAAAAAGTGAACATACCAATATCAACTGCAAAAAGGCAACTGTAGCTCAAGAATCAGATAGGAGCTCTTCCCCAAGCGGCCTGAGGTGATCTGTGAAAATGGTTCGCTATTCACTTGACCCAGAAAACCCCACAAAGTCATGCAAGTCAAGAGGCTCAAATCTTCGTGTTCACTTTAAGAACACACGTGAAGGCTCGGCGCCAGCCACATACACCTAAGGTGGCGGGTTCGAATCCCCAGCCTGGGCCCGCCAAACAACAATGATGGCTGCAACCAAAAAATGGCCAGGCGTTGTGGCAGGCGCCTGTTGTCCCAGCTACTTGGGAGGCTGAGGCAGGAGACTTGCTTGAGCCCAGAAGTTGGAGGTTGCTGTGAGCGTGATGCCATGGCACTCTACCCAGGGGGATAGCTTGAGGCTCCGTCTCAAAAAAAAAAAAAAAAAAAAAACACACGTAAAACTGCCCAGGCCATCAAGGGTATGCATATACGAAAAGTCACCAAGTATCTGAAGGATGTCACCTTAAAGAAACAATGTGTACCATTCCGACGTTACAATGGTGGAGTTGGTAGGTGTGCCCAGGCCAAACAGTGGGGCTGGACACAGGGTCGGTGGCCCAAAAAGAGTGCTGAATTTTTGCTGCATATGCTTAAAAATGCAGAAAGTAATGCTGAACTTAAGGGTTTAGATGTAGATTCTCTGGTCATTGAGCATATCCAAGTGAACAAAGCACCCAAGATGAGTCACTGAACTTACAGAGCCCATGGTCGTGTTAACCCATACATGAGCTCCCCCTGCCACATTGAGATGATCCTTACTGAAAAGGAACAGATTGTTCCCAAACCAGAAGAAGAGGTAGCACAGAAGAAAAAAATATCCCAGAAGAAACTGAAGAAACAAAATCTTATGGCACGGGAGTAAATGCAACATAAAATAAATGCAAATAACTGTCAAAGGAAAAAAAAAAAAGAATCAGATAGGAATTTAACATTTACCACCACCAAAAAAAAAAAAAAGACATTAAACTTTAATTTTCTTTTATTAGCATTTTCAGAGGCAAATGCTACAGGGTTCTGATTCCCTGTATTAAGTCCTCCTTATCTACTCTCTCTCCTGTTTTCTAGTACAAGGGTTCCTTTTAGACTTGCCACAGTTTACTCCTCCCCACAGTGTTTCCTAAGCTCACAATTCTTTCATTGTAATTATTCTTCAGGGTTACTCAGAGAAGCTACCAAACCCTAGGATGCAGAACGGGTTAACATGGACAGAAAGACATAAGCAGGTTAAGAGGGGAAAAATGGTGCTTGCTTTCTTTACCTTGTTCAGCAATTTCAATTTCTCTTCGTCCAAATTCTGCCTGTTTGATGTTCTTGACACAGAAGTCACTGCTTCCCTTAGAGTTCTTCTGCTGCTTATCCCTGGGGGATGTCTCATCATCAGAGCTATCTGTATATGAAGCCGCTAGAATGACAGAATAAACAAACCTCAGCAAAAAAACAGCTCCCTCTACAATTCCAAACTACGGAGTGAACTTGGGCTTCTCTAGCCATCCAACACCATGCAAATACACACCTCTGGCAAGCAGAGGGTACCATGGGGCTATCACTCATCTTCTATGGAAAGTGCTATTGACAGGTCAGAAAAGGAAAGCTAAGAGAAATTGCCGAAGATATTTTCCCTGGGTACCATTAACTTGAAATCTAGGGCTAACTTTATCTTCAGAATAAAGGCTTTTGAATATGTGAAGAGAGAGTGATGCCATGGTAGCAATAGGTGAAAGTTTCTAATGCAACATCATAGTCATTAACCTATGGGTTTCTGGCATCCCATCTACCTTTCTCTCTTTGCATCTTAAATGTCTAATGTAATTTGTGTTTTAGTACAATAACTGAACAGATAAGACCTAGAAAACAAGGAATCCATGTGAAAGTAATTAAGAACCATACAAAAAGTGTTTGTCTGACATAACAGAGCTTCCTTTTTTAAGACTGGCTGAACTATGCCTGCAGACCCAATTAGACATTGACAAAATGAAGTATTTATTGTGCTCTCCCTTCTGGCTGGCCTCAGTGGGTTCTATGTTAGGCATTTTAGATTCCCAAAGAATCAAGAAACTCCTTTTTAGGTACAATAAAATGCTCTTATAATGAATCCATGTAGCAATATACTCTAGATGATGGGTCTAAAATTTTTTATTACAGCTAACAAGCAGCTGCTGCTACTGCTATCCACACGCTGAGCTGAGGTCTTTTTAGTCTTCATGTAATTCTGTAGTTGTTTATCATTTGCTAGAAAATATGAAGCAATTTCTTAAGTTTCTTTCTTTTTTTTTTTTTGAGATAGAGTCTCACTATGTTGCCCTTGGTAGAGTGCCATGGCGTCACAGCTCACAGCAACCTCAAACTCTTGGGCTTAAGTGATTCCCTTGCCTCAGCATCCCAAGTAGCTGGGACTACAGGAGCCTGCCACAGTGCCCGGCTATTTTTTTGTTGCAATTGTCATTGGTTTTCAGCTGGCCTGGGCCAGGTTCAGCCTCAGTGTATGTGGCTGGCACCTTTAGCCACTATGCTACAGGTGCTGAGCTTTTCCTTAAGTTTCTAAAGATAGTTATTCCTAACCCCCACAATTTGGGGGAGTGGAAGGTAGAAGATATAAAGTACTGTCTATAAAGCATTTTCTTTCTTTCTTTCTTTCTTTCTTTCTTTCTTTCTTTTTGAGGCAGAGTCTCACTATGTTGCCCTCAGTAGAGTGCTGTGATGTCACAGCTCACGGCAACCTCCAAATCTTGGGCTTAAGTGATTTTCTTGCCTCAGCCTCCCAAGTAGCTGGGACTACAGGCGCCTGTCACAATGCCCAGCTATTTTTTGTTGTTGTTCTTGCAGTTGTCATTGTTGTTCAGCAAGCCTGGGCTGGATTCAAACCTGCCTGCCTCAGTGCATGGGACAGGCACCCCACCCACTGAGCTACGGGCACCGAGCCTATAAAGTATATCTCTCAGTGGAACAAGAAGTACTACCATCACTTTTCAGGGAAGAAAACTGTGAAAAGTTAAGGTGTCTAGGGTCTATGGTATTCTGATCTACTTAAAGCCAGAGAATTAAGGCATTTCTGGGATTTCTTAGCAAAAAGTCTATCTCTAGGAGGGCTATAAAAGGCAAGCCTGACCTTGCCCAGTTAATTAGGTATAGCACTACAAACTGCTTGGGCAGCAGGGGCCTGAGAATCTCTCAGGGAACTGGAAAAGTACCCTAGAGGCAAAGTCCTAACACGAGGCAACAAGAATGAACAGGGACACCAGGGGAGGTAAGGGAATTAGTAAATATCTCCAAAAGGACTTTTGTTCTTGAAAGGAGCTAATCTGTACACAAAGTCTGTGGTCCCTCCAACCCCCGGGGAGAGCTCAAAGTACTTTTGGCAACAGAGCCCAGAAACAACTTTCTGAGCAGTCATCTGTTTTACTAATCAATATTCAGAAATAGCTTATGAATTAGAGGCTTAGGGGATCCACATTTCTACCACCTGAAAGAGAAAAAAGATATAGCCAACCCTAATCTTGATCCAAATTTACAGGAAAAATTACTTTTGAAAAAAGCTTTTACATTCAGAATACCCTGAAATTTCAAATCCTTTTCCAGAGCCATGAAAATTTTTATGCTTGCAGTGCCCATTTAAAGATAGGAGTCATGTGGTTTACAGTCAGACTTTGGTCAAAGTCTCAGTCTGTATAAAGTGGAGGTGACACCAGAATCTAGTAAGTAGGGCTGTTAATTTATTCATGTATACCATCATTTACACATTTAGTGAATTCAAATTTTACTTGTGCTCTTACCACGTACCAGCCATAGTTTAGGTACTGGGAATAGACAGATATGGTCCTTACCTTAATGGAGTTCTTAGTCTAGTAGGTGAGCCACAAGTGAAATAATTAATTACAAAATTAATTAAAGTTTTTAATTAAATGTGTGCTATGAGGCAGAAATCAAGATGCTGTAAGACTAGATAACAAAAGGACATGACTTGAGAAGATCAAGATAATGTAAGTAAAGCGTTGAGTGCAATGCTTGGCATATAGTAATTAAGCACTATATCAGTGATACCTGATATTACCCACTTTTGCATGTATTTTAAATTCACTACCAAGAATAATATCTTTAAAGGTTCTTACTTAGTGTTAGGATTTTGAATGGGAAAAGAATGATATACATATATTATTATTCAGCAGTTTCTTTTTTTGTACCTCTGTCATCTCTTATGAATGTACCAAAGCAGCAGGTGGTTGGCTGGAAGTAATTAAAAAAGTTGAGACCAGAATCCCAACTCTACCCAGAACAGCTCTCCCCTCCTATTCCTCTCCAACTTCTAAGGATGAATCAAGAAAACAAACAAACAAAAATAAATAAAATAAAATATTCCCTTAAGAGAAGCATTCCAACTTTTGGCTCCCCCACCTCAACTCAAAGAAAAAAAATTACATCACTTCCTTATTCCAAAAGCTAGAGAAAACAGTATTTAATTTTCTTAATAGTAGTCAACTGGTTACAATTAATTCAACCAAAATTTTTCCTTGGACCAAAATGTATTTGTCTTCAAAGAGTTCTGTATACAGACCTGCTGTGAGGTAAAAACCAAAAGTATCAGCTGTCTAGAATGTACCAATATGTGGATAAAACTTTGCTGTTTGGAAAAATCTAAAAATATCTCAAACTTTTCAACTTTTAAGAACCAATTATGGCTCGGCGCCTGTGGCTTGAGTGGCTAAGGTGCCAGCCACATACACCTAAGGTGGCGGGTTCGAAACCAGCCCAGGCCCGCCAAACAACAATGATGGCTGCAACCAAAAAAAATAGCCAGGCATTGTTGTGGGTGCCTATGGTCCCAGCTACTTGGGAGGCTGAGGCAGGAGACTCGCTTGAGCCTAGGAGTTGGAGGTTGCTGTGAGCTGTGATGCCATGGCACTCTACCCAGGTGGACAGCTTGAGGCTCTGTCTCAAAAAAAAAAAAGAACCAATTATGAATAAGGACTTTCTGTTCTCCCTTCTTATCCTTAACCAATTAACTCACTACAATGAGAGCTTTTTCAGAAATATATCAGTGAGAATAGTCTTTGGAAGAAAGTCTCTTTTGTTCACTTGTTTTTATGAGATTTTTTGCTTAGGGTAAGAGCTTTTATTTCTTTGTTTTTTGAGACAGAGCCTCAAGCTATCCCCCTGGGTAGAGTGCCATGGCATCACAGCTCACAGCAACCTCCAACTCCTGGGCTCAAGCGAGTCTCCTGCCTCAGCCTCCCAAGTAGCTGGGACTACAGGCGCCCGCCACAACGCCTGGCCATTTTTTGGTTGCAGCCATTATTGTTGTTTGGCGGGCCCGGGCTTGGGATTCGAATCCGCCACCTTAGGTGTATGTGGCTGGCGCCTTAGCCGCTTGAGCCACAGGCGCCGAGCCAGGGTAAGAGCTTTTAGAAGTTTGGTTTTTTGAGACAAGGTCTCATTCTGTCACCCAGGTGAGAATGAAGTGGCACAGCCACAGCTCACTACAACTTCAAACTCCTAGGCTCAAGTCATCTCAAGGCATCTCTATGATGCCGGGGCTGTTCTCCAACTCCTAGGCTCATGCAATCCCCCCTCCTTGTACTCTCAAAGCATTTGCATTACAGTCATGAGCTATCACACCCCGCCATTTGTTTCATAAAAAATAATTTCATGGATTAATGTAGCACTTAACCTAGATTCTGCTAGAATTAAGTTCTAATGCCTGGAGCATTCATTCATTATATACAAAGAATTAAATTCTCTCCCATGCATTCAGAAAGGTACTATTTATGTACCATCTTTTGGAGAATTAAGAAAACAGTCTATCAAATCATTTCCAGGGCTCATGAGGAACCCTGTTTGAGAAAGGCTGGGAGAGGTTCCTAAATAAAACATGGCAAAACTTAGTACTAGAATCATTCTGAAGGAAGAGTAGGCCATAGCCCATTTAAGCCTCTAAGTATCTTCAGCAAAATAAGCACTTTGGATAGGAAAGCATCTTTTTTTGAAATTTCATAAACCTCAGTCTGGCTGTTCACATATACCGAGTATAGTAGAGACCTCAGCAAAGGTGTAAAGTATAACAAGAACGTCTCTGAACCCCTTTCACTAATATTTATTTATTGAGTCCCTTTTATGTGTTAAACAGTTCTAAATGCTGGAAGCAGAGCAATATAAAGACCAAAATTTCTACTCTCATGTTAAGTGGGAGGCAAAAGAAAAAATTAGTAAAATATAAAATATTTTATGATAGGAAGTGCTATGAAGAAAAATAAAAGAGAAAAATTTGATAAGGAGTATTGGGTGAGGTATTTTTATAATTTTTTTTAATGAATGCATTTTTTAATTTCAAATTAATATGGAGAGTACAAATTTTTAGGTTACATTGTTCTCACTTCCAAGGTAAAGTTTCAGTTGCAAAAGAGTCCCTCACCTAGGGGATGTGACATATACCCTCACAATGTGCACCATGAGGTGAGATCCCACTTCATGCCCTCCCCGCTTTCGGCCAATTGTCCTTCCCCTCTCCCTTAATTAATGCATTTTTTTTTTTTGAGACGGAGCCTCAAGCTATCCCCCTGGGTAGAGTGCCATGGCATCATGCTCACAGCAACCTCCAACTCCTGGGCTCAAGCAAGTCTCCTGCCTCAGCCTCCCAAGTAGCTGGGACTACAGGGGCCTGCCACAACGCCCGGCCATTCTTTGGTTGCAGCCGTCATTGTTATTTGGCGGGCCTGGGCTGGGGATTTGAACCCGCCACCTTAGGTGTATGTGGCTGGCGCCCTAGCCGCTTGAGCCACAGGCCCCGAGCCAATGAATGCATTTTTAATTGACATAAAAATTGTATATATTTATCATGTACAACACAATATTTTAAAATATGTATACATTGTGGAATGGCACGATAGAGTTAATTAACACATATATTACCTCATATACTTACTTTTGGTGGAGAGAACACTTAAAATCTATTCTTTTACTGATTTTCAAGAATATAATACATTGTTATTAACTACAGTCACCATGTTGTGTATAATTTTAAAAGAATAGCCAGGATAGGACTCAATGAAAAGGTGAAATAAATAAATTATACATACACACACACTCATAAATGTATGTATTTTAAAAACTAGTCACGTGCAGTAGTGAGAAACAAAGAATAAAACAAGGAATTCTATCTGTAACTGACTGTAAACAGTCAACTGAGATAACTCACTATCCTTTGACTGGATGATATTTTTGGTAAAGAAGTACAGGAGGTAAGATAGCCAGCCGTGCATATATCTGGGAAGAGAGCATTTCAGGCAAAGAGAGGAAGAAGTATAAAGGTCTTGAGACACTTGAGTGTCTGGCATATTTCAAAATAACAGTAAGGAGACTACTGTGGGTGGAGAGAAATTAACAGCTGGGAGAAGAGGGAGGTTTGGAGAAGTAGAGAGATGATCAGACATGTAATAAAAGGCTGGATGGGATGGGGCCTTATAGACTGCTCTAAGAAAATTAGGCCTCACCCAGAATGAGACCCATAAGCCTTTGGAGGGTATGAGCATAGAACTGATGTGACCTGATGTATTATAAAAGAATGAATTTGGCTACAGTGTTGGGAATAGACTGAAGATGGGTAAAGCTGTAACTAAGAAGCTCAGTTTTTAAGATAGGAGAGGTCTGAAATATCTATAAATCATCTAAGTAAAAAAATTAAGCAGATAGTTGACTACATGGATCTAGTGTGTAGGAGAGAGATTTGAGCTACAGATAAAATAAACAACAACATATAGTATTTATTTATTTAGGAGACAGAGTCTCATTCTGCTGCCCAGGCTAGAGTGCCATGGTGTCAGCCTAGCTTACAGCTACCTCAAATTCCTGGGTTCAGGCAATCCTTCTTCCTCAGTCTCCCAAGTAGCTGAGACTACAGGGATGTGTGACAACTCCCAACTAATTTTTTCTAATTTTTTTTAGTAGAGACAGTGGGGGGGAGGGGGTGTCTCACTCTTGCTCAGGCTGGTCTTGAACTCCTGAGCTCAAGCAATTGTCCTGCCTCTGGCTCTCAGAGTGCTAGAATTACAGGCGTTGAGCTTCTGCACCTAGCCTCAATACATGGTATTTAAAACTATCAGATTAAATCAGTGCACCTATGGAGAAAGTATAAATGGAGAAAGGAAGTGGGTTAAAAGATTAATCTTTGGAACTCTCCAGTGATATTTCTATAGTCATTTAAATTATAATGCCCACTGAAAATAGGCTCCAAGTTCTTAGTGTCATGCATTTGCATATATTCTCATATTTAGAAAACTGTTGAGTTACTTCCATTATTCTTGGGTTTTCATTTGATGGGCCTGGAGTTCTTTGTGTATCCTATAACTTTCCATTTCGCTTTTATGACTATGCCAGGAAGCAAGCGTTTTCTAGGATCATACAGTAAAACAAACATGGATTAAAAATGAATCAGGGCAATAGGCATCTCCATTCAGAGTCTGTTTAAAAGGGACTGACAATTGTTCATGTGAAGGGGGAAAAAAAGAGAGAAAAAAAGAAGGCAACAGTTCGTGTGACACAGATGCTAAATAAGTCAACAATCTTAGGTTGCATTTTGAAAGCAGATTTATGGGCTCGGCGCCTGTGGCTCAAGCAGCTAAGGTGCCAGCCACATACACCTAAGGTGGCGGGTTCGCATCCCCAGCGCGGGCCCGCCAAACAACAATGATGGCTGCAACCAAAAAATGGCCAGGCGTTGTGGTGGGCGCCTGTGGTCCCAGCTACTTGGGAGGCTGAGGCAGGAGACTCGCTTGAGCCCAGGAGTTGGAGGTTGCTGTGATGCCACGGCACTCTACCCAGGGGGATAGCTTGAGGCTCCGTCTCAAAAAAACAAAAAAAAAAAAAAAGAAAGCAGATTTATGGAAGTAACACTTCTTATAGATCAGTTCTGACCATCTAGACTATTATATTGATAGGAATAATATTGTTTAAAAGAACACTTTAATCTGGAAAATGTCCAGATAAGTATAACCCAAATAGTGGGATATCCCCAAAGCAGGCAATCAAAAATGGCGATTTTTATTTGTAAGTAAAATCTTTTCTTTTTTTGAGATAGAGTCTCACTCTGTGGCCCTGGGTATACTGCTGTGTCTTCATTGCTTCTTGAGGGAATTGAGGTTTCCCTGTTAATTTGCAAGTAACAGATGGAGGGATGGGGAACTTCTTTTTTATTTTTAAAGGATGGAAAAAACACAAGTCATTTTTTTTTTTTTTTTTTTTTGACAGAGCCTCAAGCTGTCCCCCTGGGTAGAGTGCCATGGCATTACAGCTCACAGCAACCTCCAACTCCTGGGCTCAAGCGAGTCTCCTGCCTCTGCCTCCCAAGTAGCTGGGACCACAGGCGCCCGCCACAACGCCCGGCTATTTTTTTTTTGGTTGCAGCCGTCATTGTTGTTTGGCGGGTCCGGGCTGGGGATTCGAACCCGCCACCTTAGGTGTACGTGGCTGGCGCCTTAGCCGGTTGAGCTATAGGCGCCGAGCCAACAAGTCATTACATATATTGTTCAGTGAAGGTCAGTGAACAACATACCCCCACCTTTCTGAGTAGATCAAATAACTCAACTTCCTTAATCATTTCCTCTCCTTCTGTTTGAAAAGGAGGCCTCTATTAAGTACCACTCTGAATTCTGAAGAGAAATCCAAAGATTCCACCAAATTTTGACTCAAAGTATGTATTCAAAGCACAGATGAGTTTACTTAGCCTTGGATAGGTGGAGGGTAAGGGGCTGTGGGGGAGGGGAGGGTCTGTTGATCATACCGTATTAGCCTCAGCACATGGGTCCACAGCAGCTCACACTCACCTGAACTATAGCTGTCAGTAGATGACTGAGAAATGGACCGAGACAGAGAGCGACGTCCAATTTTGGTGGGACGTTTGTTGAATTCTTGCTTCTGGTCAGCAAATTGGATCTGCTAAGAAAAAGAACCCTAGTTACATAAGGGAAAAGAAACTCCGTTTTGAGACATCAATGCAAGGCTTACATTGTAGGCTCTTATTTTTCTTTGTAGTTGATCTGACTGTATTCCTATCTGGAATGTTAAGACGCTTTGAAGAGAATAATAATTTTCATTCCTTATCTACTATGTTTCTATCAAATTCAAATCTATGATCTACTCTCTGACTATATGCTTTTTACAATAAAATTGTGACATTCCTCCCCCCAAATGGGAAATGGGATGTTCTGGTTAAAATAAATTTTTAGAAAATTGAGTCATATTCAGAAATCCCTTCTATAGTTTCACTGAAAATTAAAGCTGGAAAGAATCTTTGAGACTATCCACGTAGCTATAAGCTTCTAGATATACTAGATGAGAAAACTGCAAGGTATGGAAAAGTAAAATGTGGGCAGAGAGATCAGGAAAAAAAATTTAAAAACAAAGGTGAAATGACTTGTATTTTAAAAAATGACTTGTATTCAAGTTTCAAGATTCTCAGTAAATGGTAATATAATAATTTTTTTTTTTGAGACGGAGCCTCAAGCTGTCACCCTGGGTAGAGTGCTGTGGCATCACTCACAGCAACCTCCAACTCCTGGGCTCAAGCGAGTCTCCTGCCTCCGCCTCCCAAGTAGCTGGGACCACAGCTGGGCCCGCCACAACGCCCGGCTATTTTTTGGTTGCAGCCATCATTGTTGTTTGGCAGGCCCAGGCTGGATTTGAACCTGCCACCTTAGGTGTATATGGCTGGCGCCTTAGCCATTTGAGCCACAGGCACTGAGCCAATATAATAATTCTTAAATGGCTTTTCACTCAGAACAAACATTCTGGAATTGCATTCACATTCTGGCTATGCTGCTTGTTATCTTGTGATGTCAAGATGCTTTTGTGAGCATCATTTTCCCATAAATAAAACTACTTACCTCACAGGTTTTAGAGATTTCAATGAGACAATGTACGTAAACCATGAAACATAGCAGGAGATTTAATAAATCCACTCCCGCTCACGCCTTAATCCCAGCCAAGGCGGGTGGATAGCTTGAGCTCACGAGTACGAGACCAGCCTAAGCAAGTGTGAGATCCCAAATCTAAAAGTTAGCTGGGTGTTGTGGTGGATACCTGTAGTCCCAGCTACTTGGGAGGTTGAGGCAAAGGGATGGCTTGAGCCCAAGAGTTAGAGGTTGCTATGAGTTACAATGCCACGGCACTCTACCGGGGCAAGAAAGTGAGACTCTGTCTCAAAAATAAATAAATAAATAAAATGAAATAAATAAATAAATCCACTCCCCACCCCTAATCCCTACAGTTCGTGTTTTTACAACTAATGCAGGTAGCTACTCTAATTTGATAAATGTTTTCTGAAACATATTAGTTAGCTTTCCAGTTCTAGTAAGCATTAACTTGTTTTTTTTAATGTTTAGCATTATAAAATACCTAAAAACTGCAAGATCAATTATTTACTAACTATAACAGATACAGAAGGAACAGATGATTTCACTGAATGTGTGTAAATCTCAGATTATACTCTGGAGGTTGCATTTTGGACAATATCTGATAGTGACTGTTTTATCTCTGCCCCTACTGTTAGGAGGTGCCCGCTGATGTTTTATACTTTACAAATCAAAGCTCATATCATTTATTCAACTAATACTTTTTCTATAACTGAATGTTTGCATAATTGCTTATTCTTGTGGATTCAAGGTGGCACAGAGGAAGGTCTACTGAAAAGGATAAAAGACATGATGACTAATTCTACTTTTAATGATGAAGATAAGCCAAACACATCAACCCAGGATGAAAGCAGCAACTGACTGCTACATTTTCTGTAGTCAGAGGTAACTAATGAGTCATTTGAGTACTGAGACAAGAGGACCAATGCCAAATCAAATTACCTTAGTATTGCCTTTTAGGGGAATTCATAGCATTTTCATAGCTTTAACAACAAATAAAGCCTGCGTAGTGCTTCTTTAGAGTTTGCAAATTGTTTTCAGCGATAGGAAAATCCATTGGATTAGAGGCTCTTCACAAAATGAAAAAGGACAAAACTGATTATTTTGCTAAAGTAGTAATTTATTTCAAAAGGATAAAGTGCCCCTTCTGTGTATTCCCAGAGGATGCACACAAACTTTCATGTATTGTACTATTTCTAGCATAGCATCTACTAAACTGATTTAACTGTCTGCCTACCTATATCCTTTATAAATTATAGGCTCCATAAGGTAGAGACCATCTTACTCATTCTTACATCCTCATGCACAAATGCCTGGCACATCCTAGGCACTCAACCATGTGCTGAATCCATGAGTCTGAAGTAACCTATTCTATCTTCACTATATTTGGCTGAATATTCAATTAATACAGTAAACATAAAATAAACTTAAACTTAATTTTTTTTTTTTTTTTTTTTTGGATAGAGACAGAGTCTCACTTTATCGCCCTCGGTAGAGTGCCATGGCATCACACAGCTCACAGCAACCTCAAATTCCTGGGCTTAGGCGATTCTCTTGCCTCAGCCTCATGAGTAGCTGGGACTACAGGATCCTACCACAATGCCCACCTATTCTTTTGTTGCAGTTTGGCCAGGGCTGGATTTGAACCTGTCACCCTCAGTATATGGGGATGGTGTCCTACCCACTGAGCCATAGGTGGGTGGCTTTTTTTTGAGACAGAGTCTCAAGCTGTCGTCCTGGGTAGAGTACCGTGGCATTACAGCTCACAGCAACCTCAAACCCATGGGCTGAAGCGGTCCTCTTGCCTCAGCCTCCCAAGTAGCTGGGACTACAGGTGCTCACTACAACGCCTGGCTATTTTTGCCATTGTTGTTGATGTAGCAGGCCTGGGCCAGGCTTGAACCTGCCAGCCTTGGTGTATGTGGCCGGCACCCTACCCACTGAGCTACAGGCACCACCTAAACTTAAAATATTTTTTAAGAGCAAAAACACTGAGGAGAAAAGGGAGGGTAGGAAACTGGGGAGGTAGATAGCAGTCAGGCTCAAAACTCTGGCTTCCATTTCATCAACCTTGTTCAAGACAGGGTTTATTCTTTTTTAGCAGCTCATCTAGGAAACAGAGTAATAATGGATTTTCCAAAGGCCACACTGAGTCACTCACTAACATCAGTAGTGCCTTCTTTTCAAAAAGACTAACAGATAAATCCTACCTCAATACAAGCCCCCCCACCACACATACATGTATGCATGCACACATACACATGCACTCACACCACTAGAGGGGGCCAGTTACTCTTATTCTGTAGATTCGTAGGATCAGGGTAATACCTAGGTATTTTCACCTTAGTACTCCAAACCATAGAGATACCTAGCTGCATTATCATCTCAAATCAGTTTCTCTGAGCTGAGCTTTCTTCTCTATAATCCTTCCCACTCACAGTATTCCCGCCATCCAGAAAAAGTCCAGGTTGTCTTTTGGCACTAAAGGCAACTAGGCTGTACAGGCTTTCTCCATTTAGAACATAGGGTTCTAAAACCTTGGTTAGACATGGAATTCAAGTTTCTCTAAGACAGAAGGATATTAGGGAGTGACTAGCCACGTATGTATAAATTATATAATTTTCCCAAGAAATATCTATCTTTTACTGATAACCAGAATATCTGAGTTAAGTGGGTCATCCCTGGTGCCCGCCTTCCCTCAATAATTAAATACCATTATATTCTTCATGCCACAGTCTATTTTGTAATGGACTGATTTTGTAATCCCTACCACAATTGTGGTACCTATGTAGATTTAACCCCTAACTCTCCTACCTTGTCTGAAACCAGAGTCTTTCAAGGTAACCATTCTTTCCCATTGCAGACAGAACAGCCTAATTCTAACAGGTATCAAGGCAAGGGAGAAAAAGAGACTGTTATGAAAGTGGTGGCTCACCTTATGGCAGACAGCGAGATGAAAGCAGAAAAAGAGGAAAAAGGATATAAGCAGCTAGCCTTTTAAATAATGGCTATAGCGGCAGCAAGACTGGTTAATAAGAGCTTAGTCTCACCTGGGTTTTAATCCCAGAGTTGCCATTGACAATGTATTTCTTCCTGCTGTTCAGCATGGTGACATTACCAGCCCTACTGCCACCTCTGTGGCCCAAGGACCCTTGTGGCTAGGCCTTTAAACTTTCCTCATCAGCAATTCTGTTGGCTCTGGTTCCAGCTAGTTTTTTTTGGGGGGGGGGAGGGCTACTCTTCCTTGGAATCCCTGAAACAGTTCCAGCAACCCCTTCAATAGTACAGCCCCAATTTAATAAGGCATTTCTGTTAGTGGCTCATCAGCCATTCCTAATTCTGGTGGCTGTTTTGCTTTTATTTTTTTCCTAAACACCTAATTACATGGATCCTCTGACCTCTAAACCTTAACAAGTTCCTTGACAAGGCCCAACTTGCATGTGTATAACAATGGCTTATTTATATAACCAATGCACTTTTTTGCCTGCTATAATTAACTTGCTAATTAGGTTCCTTTTTAACCTTACCTCCTCCTTTTCCCTGTCAGATGATTTTAGTTAACCTAGTCTCATTAGAAAAAAATTAACTACAGAGCCCTAAAACAATGAGGGACTTTTTTAAGAGAGTAAGAAAAAAAAAACTAATGGTGCCAAATATTTGGGCAGCCCCTACCCTACACTGTGTCCTTGGATTAGGCAGACTAGGGACACTGGTTCCAGCTCTGTTACCAAGGAAATCAATTTTCTCAGCCTATACCTTTACCCTTAATTGTGCATCTTTTTTTTTAATTAAAAAAATTCTTTAGAGTGGGGGTCTTGCTCTATCACATATGTGCAGTGGTGTCATCACAGATCACTGTAACCTCAAACTCCGGGGCTCAAGTGACCTTCCTGCCTCAGCCTCCCACAATGCCTGACTGACTATCTATGATGGAGTCTTGCTATGTTGTCCAGGCTGGTCTTGAACTCCTGGGCTCAGGTGATCCTCCCACCTTGGTTTCCCAAACTGCTAGGATTACAGGCA